GCACCATCATCGTCGTGGTAGACCGTCTATCGAAGTATGCAACTTTCATCGCAGCACCTAAGTATGTATCAGCGGAAGAGACAGCTCAACTCTTCTTCAAACATATTGTCAAATACTGGGGACTGCCTAAAGACATAGTCAGTGATCGGGATCCTCGATTCACCGGCATATTTTGGACCGAGTTGTTCAAACTCCTTGGTTCAACATTGAGCATGAGTTCTAGCTTTCACCCACAATCTGATGGACAGACGGAGCGCTTCAATTCTATGCTGGAAGAATATCTTCGGCACTTTATCTCTACTTCACAGAAAAATTGGGTGAAGCTTTTGGATGCGGCTCAGATGTGTTTCAATGCCCAAAAGAGCTCTTCCACCAATAAGAGTCCTTTTGAGATTGCTACTGGCCAGCAACCGCTACTCCCTCATACTGTGGATATCAATCAAAGTACCAAGTCACCTCGAGCAAAAAGCTTCTCTCAAGAGTGGAAACGAAACATTGAAATTGCTTGGAATTATTTTGAGAAAGCTCAGAAACGGTATAAGAAGTCTGCAGATCTAAAGCGCCGTTTCATTGAATTTGATGTTGGAGATCTGGTAATGGTGAAATTCCTTGACAGAAACTGCTATAAACTGACAAGAGGGAAGGATTCAAAATTGGTGCCGAAATATATTGGACAATTACCCATCATGAAGAGAGTTGGCAAGGTTGCATACAGAGTTGCACTCCCTTCATGTGTAAAATCCACAAAGTCCTTCATGTTGGCGTACTTAAGCCATACTTTACCGACAAGGAGGATGCATCCAGAAATGAACCAAAATGACCTGTGTTTAAACTGAAAAGAGCTGGAAAAAAGGTCGCTGAAGAGATTCTTGACCACCGAACTACTCGAACTTCTAGAAAATATCATCAAAAGTACTTGGTCAAATGGAAATGATGCAGCAGCGAAGAGAATACTTGGGAAAGCAAAAAAGACCTTGACGCCTTCCAACCATTAATTGATGCATATCTTTCATTGATGGCTTCGAGGACGTCGCCAAAACAAGTGGGGGAGAATGTCACGGACTGCACCTTTACTTAAGCCCCGTGACCCTATCACAGCTGCAGTTTACCCAATTTCGGCAGCACATTGTAAATATTTTATTTAATTGTAAAATAGTTGGTAATTAGAAAAGTTTTGTATGATTCCTCGATTTTTTAACGTCTACTTCCGTCATTCGGGTTTTTGTTGTTAAGTCTATTATAGGGAGTATTAGTCTTTCACACAACTTTCAAGCTTTCTAGTGTTCGCCCCTTGCACTAGCCATTATAATTTCCTACTTTCAATCAATTGTAATTTTAAGTTTTCTAGCAATCAATGATCAAGTCATGTTCAATGTATTTCCATTTTATGTTGCAAGCTTTCTTTAAATTGTAATCAAATTTCTTTTCGTCCCAAAACGATCGAGAGAAGACAGAAGGTAGTCTAGCGGAGCATACTACTGCCGCACGGTATCCCTTTCTTTGTTAAGAAGAAAGGTAACCCGTGAAACCAGGACTTAACCTCCCTCATATGCAACGATATTCGACTTAAACTGGAGTAGCTGGACTAAAATTGACATGACATCATTTGGAGAAGGAAATACGGTTGTTATGGTAGCTGCTTCTTTCCGCACAATATCTGCAAGCCAGTCATAATTAATGAGAGGAACATTTCAAAGCCAACACCTTCCATTGGATCAGTGGAGGCATTCAAACCTGTAATTTCTTTATACAAAGAAGAAAGCCCGCGTACAACATTGCTAGGACTAGGTTGAGAACCTCAGTAGAATTCAGAGACGTACTATTTGTGTAAAGATTAACAATTAAACCATTTTGCCAAAAAAAATTTGACACTTTTGTTTACATCCTTTCACATTGTGGTGGGACTCACGCGGGATTGCAGCTACAAAGAAAATTATTGCCACCTGACACCCTAGTTAATCGGATCAACGGCCTATGCATAAAATTAAAATGACCCGATCATTCCGATTTGATGCAGAACCTGTTGATCCGATTTTGGTTGCATACTTGCGTTTGATACCGACGAATCAGAGTTGAACGTGCATTACACGTTATTCTGAAATACTTTATTAGTGTTATAAAAGTAATATTTGATACTAATTTATTTGGAAGATTTGATGAGTCTCAAACGAATTAAAGAAAATAAAATTTAGGATGGATATTTAAGAGAATAAAATTGTACTATCAAAACTTAACTTCTATGATATAGATTTGTTGTAATGATGAAATACTACAAATAAACAACATTTTTATACTACATTTGGTACATAAGAATTAATTGTTAGTACATGAATTTAAACACCCATTAAAATTCTTAGATATATGAATAGAAATAAATTCATTTATAATAACTCTAGATTCATGTATATCAAAATTCACCAAATCTAGATTCATTGAATCTAGATTACTGTGAATTAATCTAGATTACTATGAATGTTAATTAATTGAGAATTAATAATGCGAAATTCATACATGATAAGAATTTTGTAGTATTTATCACATATTAAAAAACGAAAAGTAAGGTATTATTGAAATAATTAAATTGTAGTAGAGTTAAATCGTCCCCGAAATGATTCTTACTTGATGTAATATTTAATATATCATAAATATGATTATATTGACATGACTCAGTTAAAATAAGAGTCCGTTTGATTGCAATAGTGGAAAATGGGTGGAAAAAATAAATTCTAGGAAAAGTAATTGGGTAGAAATTGTTTTACGGTGAATTGTTAATTAAGTGTGTTTGATTGGCATAATTTTTCACTCGAAAAATTTTAAATTTTTGTGTTCTTTTGGTTTTGTTTTACATGAAAATTGTCCATTGAAATAATAAATATTTCTACAATTGGTTATAAAATTTGTTTCCATTGTCCCAAAAAAAAATTCCCTAAAAAATCATTTATTTCATCAAACTTTAGTGTTCGTTTGACTTTTTACATGAAAATTGTTCATTAAAGTGACTTTTTTTTTTTTATAATTGATTATAACATTTGTTTTCATTGTAAAAAAAAACGCAGTAGCAGCCTGGAAAAACTTTTCCCACCAAAATGGTGGGAAAAAGTTTTGATTAATATCCAAGAAAATGGGTCATGTGAGCACCCCAAGTGGAAAACCAATTCCCAAGAAAACTATACCTATCAAACAACTAAGGACGAGGCTTGGTGTACCGGTCAGGGGTGACAAACACCCTGACCGGCCTCTCACATCGGGTGGGGGCCTCCACATTTTTTGTTCAATTTTTTATTCATGTGGGGTCGGCTCATGTGAGAGTGTGTCAAGCTTTTTATCAAATTTTTTTTGTACAAGTAGCTTAATTCAACAACTAAAAAGGTGGAAAATAGAAAAAAATTCCAACTTCCAAAGAAATAGAGATTATCAAATAGGGCCTAAATATTGAAGCTATTCCCATTTTTACTGCCAAAGGCATGGGTGATTTTTACTGCCCACCACCTGGATGGCATTGGATGGAGTTGGTGTGGAATTTAGGGATATAAATGGGTCGAGCCTTCGTCAACTCGATGGCTCAGAGGCCCAATCTATCAATCGATCGGACTCATATCGAGACAAGCAATCGAGCGAGTTCAACTCGTGGAATGAGCAGGCTTGCTCTTCTTGAACTCGTGGATTGCCTTATTTCTCAGCAAAATTTTTACTTATTCTATTATTTTTCTTCAAAAAATTAGAAAAAAGAGTCGACTCGTGGACTAGCTCATGTCCACACAAGCTAAAGGATCAAGCCAAACATTATTTGTGACCCAACCATGTTGAGCTCAACCAGCATGCCTGATCAACACATTTAAAATAAAGTAATATTACTTGCAGTCGCTCACTGCAGCAGTCGTCCTATATATCACACACATGGCATGTAGTTATTTGATATATTAATGTGATAATTTTTTACCACATTTAATGCATCAAATACACACTTGACATGTGTGTGTCACATAGGACGACTGCTGCAATAAACGACTGCAAGTAGCATTATTCTTTAAAATATCCTAATTCTCCATTTATCTTTAGTATTTTTTTCTCTTCTCAATTAAGACTGAAATATTAAAACATAAAAATGGGGATCAAATCAATCGCCCCCATTCATCATCCACTTGTCAGGTGTTACTTGTTTGACCAACCAAAATTTTATCAAACCATTCCAATGGACAGCAACACACCGAAATGAAGTGATTTTTACATCAATTCCTGCTGGCTGCTACCTGATAACAACTGCCCAAATACATAGCTCTTCCATGGTATATTTTTGCTCAGGTTAACTTAATGCTGTTTTAAATTGCATCCTCTAGATTCTTCATACTAAGATACAGAATGCCTACCACTTCTCGAGGGTGTATACTTCATTTCTTCAAGATTGTTCGACGAACCAGGGCTCTCGGTTGAATCCGAGCCACTGTTTTCACCCTGGCCAGTTTTTCTCGACCAGATTTTCGAAAAGATTTTCTTCGACATCATCAAACCTTTCATTTTACTAATGGAAGCCTTGTCAGCATTTCTCTCATGAACTACTCCATTTCCTAATCTTAAAGCTGCCAGCTCACCTCTCAATGCGCGAAGATCTTCGGCTGACGCTACAGCGTCCCAATCTTCATCTGTATTCGCTGTTGTGGATCTCGAGCTCCCATTTGAGCCACAGTTAAGGTCTTTAATAGCTTTAGGGAGATCAGGAGTGCTGCTGCCAGACGATGCAGCTGCCCGGACTTGCTCGAAATAGAGTACCTGTACGACTACACGCATAGGAAGTCTCTCATTTTGGACCGCGTGCATGCATGCATCTGCCGAGAGCTTCTTGCAGTCCATCAGCTTGCATAATCTCTTTCTTTCGTTCTTGTTGATCCCGGGGTGCTCCTACAACAAAAACGCAGATTAGTTAAATTGACATTGAGCAAATTGCAGCCACTATTTATTCATATCCATATCCTTCTACTGTCAAAAATTTGTTTCAGTTAAAGCACCTCGTTTTGCCACTCGTGTACAGAAAAAAAAGAGCGTTCTTTCTTCCTAACTCGATAGAGGAAAAGATGCAATTTGGGATAGGCACAACTTTAAGTTAAAAATGATGCCAATCAATGTCAGGAAGACGTGCTAATACTAGTATTGTTTCTTCGGGAAAAGGAGCGGAAGTTTCTTGCCAGTTAGGAAGGTACCTTTTACATAGACAAATTGACGCTAAATGTATGATGCAATATTCTTGGAAAAATGTACAAAAAACCTAAAGAGAATGCTACCTTGAGATATGTATCAATTGCTCGATACAGGCCATCATGTGCAGGTCGAGAAAAGCTAGAAACCATCTCTGCGAGATCAATGAAACATGACAAAGGAAGATTGGGATCCTTCGCAACCTCAGCAAGGTAACCATCAACTACCTTTACCACCATTAGCTTTGAAGCTTCTGACAAAATCCCCGGCTTTCTATTCTCCCAACTTTCATTGTCATTTTCCATTTCAGTTTCAGCATCTCGGTCTTGTATCATGAATTCTTCGACTATTTTCTGAACTATATCGACATCATACATGGTTACCTCTCCATTACGAGCTAGAATTAACAGATCATTCACGGATGCCTCCTCCAATTGCTGCCCTATTCTTTTTACAAGTTCTCCCTTCACCATCTCTCCTGAGTCAACTGAAACAGCTGCTTTCAACAACTTCAGCAAGAAACTACACGAAACACTGCCTTTTTCTGTAGGTAAAAGACACACGATTGTATCCAATACTAAGCAGAACTTCGAAACATCATCGACCTGTACTACGCCCTTTGTAGAGCCTGGGAACCTTCTATAAGCATAAGCTTTCAAAGATTCTCCAATCACTTCATTTGGTATTGTCCCCTTGCCTTTAATGTCAACAATAACTCTCTCATACAAATCTATTTCGAGATCACACAAGTCCTCCACCCACCAATCGTTTGGCACCATTCGGCTTCTGACGCCGTTCCACAAGGGATTATCTCCATTTTCCTCCAGGATTTTTTTTCGGTTATAGGTATAGGACCAGTCTACTTTGGAGACATCAACCGAGGCCTTGGAAGCAATTGCATCAATGCAGTGACTGATTAACTTCAGTTCCTCAGACAAAGGTAGCAGAAACTTTGTTGTCTGAAGAGCCATAATCGAATCCTTCCAGCTTCGGAAAATGCTAGAGTTCAAGAAAACATCAACTTTGTAGATAAGGTTCCCTTTCTCAATCGTCTCATGCATTTCGAGATATTCTGCTGCACAACGTGCAGCAACAACATTATGAGCATTGAGAGTGACGATCATTCCATAACAAAACTTAGCACATATTTCAAAGGCATTTGATCCGCCCGGAATGTCATGAATGCGGACCTCGTCGCCATTTCCTTCATTAGAAGACGAAACCAACTTCTGTAAGTGTGCACTTTTAGACAAAAGAGGAAACTGCAAAAGACCCAATATTAGGAACAAATTGTTATTTCTGAATGAATCCACGATTAATGTACCACAATGCTAAGAATGTCAAGGAGGTAAAAAAGACATTAGAGTGAATATAATTTCAGACTTTACATGATGCATAGAGCTTGTTTGGCTGTGCTTCTCAGTTGCTTGTCTAGAAAGTAAGACTAGCAGCTGGAAAGATGAAGGGAGCTGTTCAGCTAATAATTCGATGCATCATGCTTCACAATAGGTGGTGCTTGAGACATAAGAAAGAACGTCAATATTTACATTTCTAATCTTGTGTTTGAATCTAATTTTGAGGAGAATAGAAATTTTGGAATAGTGATTGATGTGAGAATGTGTGGTGGAAAAGTGATGAAATTTTTTTGATTTGTATGTAATATTATTTTATTTGGAAAATGTGCGTTTGAAATGAAGAATGGGAATGAGAATAAGAAATTAATGGGTGTCAAACAGGGGCTAAATCTATTAAGTGTGTTATTGTATCCATGTAAGATCATTTTTAGCAATATAAATGTTAATGCTTCAGTAAAGTTAAACAAGCACCCGCATGCTCGCTTCTCGCAGATGTCAATAGGATCAACAAAAAAAAAATAACCAAAATGTGCCATAAAAGAAAAAAACTTGAAACGATAATTTTGGTCACAAAAGTATTAGTAAGAACTTCGTACCTTGTGGAGATAAAATTTCACATCCCCTACATTAACAACAAAGTCCGTCGCCAACTCTGTAGCCACATATCTGCACATGAGATTTGAGATTTTTTTTATTATGTTAACATCATCATTTAATAAATGGAAGTGGAAACTTATATTACTTTAAAAATTCTAAAGTAAACGAATTGCCAATTTGATATGTTAACTAAAGCCAGGGGTTTTCATTAGCTGCTATAGTGATATATAAATGTTGCTTCAAAAACACAAAATTAATTTTGTCAAGAGACTTCTAATATCGTACAGCTGATATTATTAAAGACATCAGCATCATTTCAAAATTTACATCATTCCACATCTAGAACCTAGATCACTTGAAATAGATTAGAGAAATTCAATTTTTTATCTTTTTCCTTTCAAGGATGGGAAGCATCAAAAGGAAAATCAAGAATCATCTGATCCATTTCAGCTTCCTGCACATTGGTAAGCCTATTCTCCAAAATGGCTGTTAAGAAGCACCAAATTAATTGACACCAATAAAACATATATGAACAGAGAGAACTTTATGGGAGAGTTGAAAGCGTTCACATAATAAGTATATTTTCGTTCTTCTCCTTAACTAAGAGCCAAATTCTCTCTCGTGGGCAACATGTAATTTACGAAAGATAGCTTATAAAAGAACATATTTTTTTCGAAATGGAGTCTTGTTTGTGCACATTGCATAATGTAAATAGGAGAGTTCGATTGCATCTGAACTGGCATCAACAAATAGTCAAAAACACAGTCCAAAATAGCCCTTTTGTAAAGGTGACCAATGACGAGAAGCTCAGCTAAAATGTAAAAACTTTTTATGTGCAAGAAAATTGTCAAGAACCAATCCAAGGCTTATTTGGAAGTAGAAAAAAGTTTTGACAATTTCTTTTTCTTATAATATATATTTCCAAGTTCTAAAAGAGCATCCAAGGCTTAAAACCTCCCCAAAGAGCCCCAAGCAAACGAAGAATGGAAGTGGGTTAGTTGGGACTTGGGAGATGGGAGATGGAAAAGTTTTTAACATATATTGAGAAATCAGCCAATTTCAGAAAAACACATCTAATTAAACAAAATCAGTCAAAAGCACCAGCTATTGAAGATATACTGAGAACATAGATGAAAGATTTTCTCACCTGATTTTCCCATCAGTCTGTAAGGAATCCGGCTTGGATCCAAGTTTCATAAACTTCATCCTGGCAGGTTAAAGATCTATTTCTCACCCGATACTCCAAAACTAAACTTCCAAACTACTCAACTAATCACGGTAAAACGTATTACACCAGATCAATTTGGGGACATCCCCAATGATCAGACAAAACCTAATTCGAGGAGAGGAGTCCCATAAATGGCAAACTAAGAAGTTTGAGGAGTGGGGACCAAATTTCTTGATATGGCTAATTTATGAACTTCAAGGGGAAGGCAAGGGAATCTCAAAGAGGTGGACACATGCTTTGTATGACCGAATCTTGACAGACAGGAGGGATTTCCAGGGGGGGATAGAAAAAGGAGAAATAGGGTTACGCAAATTTTTAGCTTAAAGAAACTTAAGTGGGAAGAGAGCCATAGAAGAGGTTGTTTCCTTGGTCAGTGGCAAAGCCCACGGACTCCGGGGGCACCCAGTCAACACAGGAGACATATACAACAGACTCTTCACACTAAATTATTCACAAATACAGATGACACTTCTTCTACCATTAATTTTACTCTGTTTCTTTAATGGCTTTTTCTTCTAGACAAATACATTATAACTGCAGATTCACATAACCAGAAATGCCCCAAATGTTCTTAAAGCTTCAAGTTTCCCCGTAAACAAATCAGAGATCTGCCAACATGTGCAATTCCTATTTTAAAATGTTTAGTTTTAAAGACCTGCCACGGAAAAAAGCATCTTGGAAACAGTTGAATCAACCACCAAAATGGTAGACAACAAGAATCTCCCACTTTAGGGTTTTTGCCAATGCTGAGGAATAAATGAGAAGATCACGCAACATAAAGGTAAATAAAATGCCATAATGTTGCCCATACACAATCAAACATCAGCAAACAGCAAAATCTGAGGTACAAAAGAGAATCATCTCAGAAATATCAAAGAAATCTTCTCATGGGTAAAACTACAAACGCATGGCCTTCATTATATGATGTAAAACCTGCAAATTAAAGAAAGTAAAGGGGAAATGTGTTAGTGATCAGCAAACACACCCCATAAATCATTCTCCGTGTAAACCCCGAACAGAACCCAAGACTTACTATTTCCATAAACCCGAGAAATATCAACCCAAATTTGTATTGCCAGAGCTCATTCAACAACTCTTTTTGAAAGAATCTATCCTACACAGGCCTTCAGTGCAAAAGAAATTCTTAGCACTAAAACCAAAAAGAAAGGAATCAAGAAAATGTGTGAAGTCATATTCTGCACAATAAAATACTCCCTCAAAAAGCCAAGATTTGCTGCAATTTGCTTACCAGTTCTGTTACAGACAGCAATCCAACTTTTTTTTCAAAGTTAAAAACCCCATTAAAATTTGTTGGTTTCTTGAAGTACAAATATTTGTTGGTGTCTTGAAGTACAATTTTTCCTTTTTTATTTTATTTTTTATTTGATGAAGTCCTATTCTCCGCTTGAGGAAGTACATGAGATTTGAAGTGGTGGGGATTGAGATTAAGACAGGCAATTTGCTACGTTATGCACGCCACACTGACACTCAGCTTTCTTGCTCCCTCTTTAGCGTCAACTGCCTTTGGTCCTAACACTGAAATTGACCCATTTCTTCCTGTCCTCATTATCCCGTTGAAATTCAACAAAAAGTAAAAAATAAAATTGACTCGCCTAATAATAATTTCCTTTTCTGAATTTGGAGTTATTTGCAAAAATTAACACAGTATTATAAATTTGACACCTTGAAAGATCTGGTTTGATGAACTTATAGCCATTCCCTGTTATTTAGAGCTTGTTAAAGCTCCTTTTTTTTTTTTTTTTTTACAGAAAAGATTATTAAATTGAGGTTTTCTTTAATATTTGTAAAATCAGAAAACAGTATTTGGAGCTTGTTTGAGCCTATTTTTAACCAAAAATATATTTTAGAATAGTGATTTGATAGAGTATGTGTGGTTAAAAAAAAAAATTTGAATTTACCCGTAATATTATTTTATTAAAAATGTGTGATCAAAAATAAAAGAGAAAATATATATTTTGAAAAAAATGAAAAACAAACGCACTCTAAATTGAGGTGCATTATACAGTTGAGTTTTGATTTGGAAAGTCAAAGTCTTGAAAACTAATAAACATGAGTTATACTACATATACAAATGAAATCTCGCCAATTGATCAGTGAACGTATGAAGTTTTTCAATTGAGCATCCATTTGACGAATTTATAAATGGTTTGTAAAGAGGAATATGAGCGGATACTACGAATGTTAGATAATAATGAATAGTAGTTGTAAATGTATGGTTGAAACTATCGTTTAATTTTGACTTTAATTTAATTTAGATACAAACGGAGGCCAAGTAACTTCCTACAAATATTTAATGAATTTGGTAATGTTTCCAACAGTGAGACCTTATATGTGCATGGAAGTGACAACATTTCAAAAGTTCAGCTAAATTAATATCCTAAATCATGTATATATCTAATTTGAGTAAATAAATTGATGGGTTAAAATGAAAAATCAATGTCTTGAAATGAGTAATGTGAAACCAAACTGGTGAAAGTTTTAAAATTTGTTAAAGATTGATGTCAAATTCAGTAATTAATTCAACAACACATTTTTCAGAATTCATAATCTGTATCAACTTTTAAATAACATATTTCATCAAAATTTATCGAAACTTGCTAAAACTTCTATCAAATATCCCCTTAATGTCATTTTACACAATCTTTTACACCCACCTCACATGGAAGGGGGTCCTCACATAATAAAATATTTGTGGGCCCCCTCCATGTGAGAGGGTGTAAAAGATTGTGTACACCACAAGGTGTACACATAGCATTATCCTTTTATTTTCAGTGAGAATAACACCTAACCTATTAAAACAAGAGTAATGCTACATGTACATAATAGTTTACATAATGGTCTACACAATTACAAGTGGCATTGATCAAAACCTTTAATTCAAATCTGACACTTTCACATCAACCACAGGATTGTTGCCACATCACATTGTGTCAAAGATTGTGTACACTTATTATGTACACTTAGCATTTTCCTTAAAACAAACATTGATCAATCTTACAATCCAATGTAATTTATGTAACGTGAGAGTTTTTTATTGTGCTTCAAAGCAAATTTCTAAGGGGGTATATTTAATTGGGACTTTTGAAGATTTTGATGGACTATTTTTAAATAATGACTTTTGTAGATTTCATGTATTTTTTAGAGATTTGTATGGAATTAGTGGAAGTTTTTTGTAAACTTTCATTTTAAAACTTTTAGAGATTTTTATAGAATTCAAAAGACTTTTGAAAACTTTCATTTGGGATAGAATTTATTTGGATATCACATACGACGTGCTGGTTCTCACAATTCCCCCCACCACATAAGAAAAAAAATATTTTAAAAAGAATAAAAATTTAAGACCTTTATTAAATAAATAATAATTATTATACATATAAAAAATAAAAAAAAAATTATAAAAGAATAAAAATTTAAGACCTTAATAAAATAAATAATAATTATTATACATATAAAAAATAAATTTAATATTCAGTATTATTAATATAATATATCTTTAAAGAATAGATAAAAAATATTTAAATTTAATTATAAATTAGTTTAAATAAAATTTTATAATTTAATTAAAAATAGATATTTTTCAAAAAAAATAAATGAAAAAAGAAAAAAATTTGAAAAAGTACAATTTAATTTTTTCATAGAAAATAGAAAAAAAATAATAAAAGGGAGAAAGAAAAATAGAAACTTAATACAATCAATACAAAAAAAATTTAATCAAAGCTCTAATATTTGTAGAAGGGAAATGAAAGTCTCTCAAAATCTTGTGATTAATGGGACAAATTTTAAGATTTTATTTGAGTACTTTCTGCTTAAAAGTTAGTACCATTGAGACTTTTATAAAAGTCTTAAAAAATCTACATTTAATATCCTTAGATTTTTTAAATCCCAAAAAATTATTAAAAATCTCAATTGAATGCATCCCCTAAGTTACTTCTTTTTAGGGTATAATTCTCTTATATACATATATGGAATAATTTTAATTTTTAAGCTGCTTTTAAGCACGAGGTTACTCAAATCTCATTTGAGCAGATCTCTTTCGAAATTGGCAAATTTATTTTATATATTTGGTCTTATCCTATCCACGTGGCCAAGTGGGCCAGTCAACTTTAGCTTGGTTTGAACAGTTGGTATTGAAAATTGAAATTCAAAAAATAAGAATACAAGATTTGTTTGGAGACATAAATTTGATTCATCACATGCAAATTCTAGGTGTTTGATACTTTCATGAATTGCTTATAATTATAATTATAAGATCTTGCAGTAGAAAAAATTATCCTCCCATCTTGTATGGAATCTTCCTAAACTATCTAATGGATTAATTAAATAGTCCTAAACAAGTTAACTAATAATTTTTCAAGATCTTGCCAATCTCATAAAGTTATATTAGATTGAAGGAGTCAAAATAAGTTTGACCGTATAGTCGTATAAGTCTGAAGATCAAAAAATGATTGGTCAATTACGAAGCGCGTGTGAATCCATCAACCTTTAAAGTTTGGTCGTGCTTTGCTAAGTCACAGCAGTTGTGCCCACCTCAGATCAATTTACGAGGGTTCGAAATTTTCAAGAAAAATCTTGTAAAAATGTATTAAAAGAAAAGACAGATGGACTATAGACTAAAACAAGTGTGATTCAATACTCACCACCTCAATAGCAAGTCGAGGTAGAAAATGTACACCTCTAAACCAGTTAAACACATGTATTATGCTACATGTATCGAATTTTTATACCAAATCTTTTACACCCCACTCACATTAGGAGGTGGGGACAACAAGTCGGAATTTTTAAATACACATCGGACCCGCGCGCATTGTGAGAGGGGGAACACCATTCGGTACTCCCCATTCGGTACATTTAGACTAATTCACATAATAAACAAAACAGGGTATGATTCAATTTCAATTTTTTTTTTTTAATTGTATAAGAGACATAACAATCATGTTTAGACACTGAGAAAAGATTT